CGTGTGCTCTTCCGATCTGGATTCGATACAGTAAATCAATAAATTCAATGTGTAAATCGAATAAAATGTTTTATTAGTAACAATTATTCGTAGGAGTGATCACTAAAGAAAATTTCTGATGTAATTGCTTATATTTTGTCTGCACATATATATGTATGTACGTTCCTATCGTCTTGCATTTTATTGGATCCAACCCAAAACAAAAGTTGCGCGGCAATACCTGCGCGAAGACTCAGTTTTTCGCTGAGTGGACCTACTGGTTATACTGTGTTCCTATCGTCTTGCATTTCATTAAATCCCAAAACAAAAATTGCAACAGAATAAGAATTTCAATCAGAAACCGTGTATTCCTGAGAGCGGTCATGCCCGCGATTTAGCTGCGATGGCGATTGAGCTGGTTTCAACGCCTCTGGAAAGTGGACATTGAACTACCAACTAGAGAGACCAATAAGAAGCACGCTTTCCGTCCAACGCGTGCTTCTCATTGGTCTCTCTAGGCTGTGTTCCATTTAACCGCTCGCAACGCTCGCAAACATTACTTGTCCTTGTTTAATGTTTGATAAACAACGAAGATAAAATAATTTCAAGAGCGTTGCAAGCGTTAAATGGAACTCACCCCTAATTGGTAGTTCAATGTCCACTTTCCAGAGGCGCTGAAACCAGCTCAATTGCTATCGCAGCTAAATCGTGGACATGACCGCTCTCAGGATCCTCTCTATCCATAGTTTCCGATAGGTTGAAATTCTTATAGCGTTTTCAATTTGTTGACTCAATCCGATTCCGAGTCGATGGTCTGTTTTTTTAGCTATAAAAAAATAGTTAAAGTGTGCAAAAAACGCTAAAAAAACAAACCATTTTGACTTAAAAGTCAGATCGAGTCAACAAATCGAAAACGCTATTATTCTCTATTGCCTGTTCCTTATTTCTTTTCATTGTGTTTAAGGCTTTCCCAAAAACCTGAAACACAATAGATGTTGTAAACCTTAAGTTGTAAGAAATTGACCAATCATAGTTAAATTTGAAGAGAATAATAGATTATGATTGGTCAATTTCTTACGGCTTAAGACTTACAACACATGTTGTGTTTCGGGAATTAAGGTCCATCTACAATGAGAGTGGTAAGTCGTAAGCCGTAAAAAATTGACCAATCACAGTCCATTATTCTTCTCAGGAGCGTATGTCAGATCGTAAGCCGCAAATCGTAAAAATTGACCAATTACAATTGAATGTAAGAAAAATATTCGACTATGATTGGTCAATTCTTAATTAGTACAATATGAGTAGTGACTAACGGCTTATTGTAGAAAGCCCCTCATATTCAACTGTGAGTCCCGAAACACAATAGATGTAATAAGCCTTAAGTAAGAAATTGACCAATCATAATCCATTATTCTCTTCAAATTCAATGGCGATTGGTCCATTCCTTACAGCTTAGGCTTACAACACTTGTGTTTCGGGACTGACTGGTCAATTTTTTACGACTTAAGGTGCCTTTTCATACTAACGCTCGACGCTCATTGTTAGCGTCAAAACAGATCATATGATCAAAATTGATACTTGGTATTTCACAATTTTGATCATGTGATCAGTTTTGACGCTAAAAATGAGTGTTGAGTGTCAGCATAAAAAGATACCTTTAGGGCAAATTCATACCTTGACAGAAAAGCAGAAAACAGAAAAGCAGAAACCAATCAGAAACTCGCACTAGTAGCAAGAAAAGCAAAAAGTAAAAACTATTGACTACCAACACGAGTTCTGATTGGCTTC